CTGGAGTCTGGAAAAGCATAGGTGCTTTGTGAAATTTCTCAGAGAACGTGCCAAGACAACTTGCGCTTGGGCTGGGATGCCTTTGCAAATTCAGTCAGAGGTCTCTCTGCTTCTAGTGTGACTGGGAGTTATGGGTAAATATGTTCAAAGAATAGTTATTTTTTATGGAAGACATGGGTAAATATGTCCAAAGTTTTTTAGGGAAGACAAAACTGGTTTTACTTACACATTCAACTGGCATACTAACTTTCCTGTTGCAAAAGTTCTGCAAAATAATGAGAAACCAGTTATGCTTCTTATAAGTGAAAAGGTTAATTCAAAAAATATGTGTATGTAAATACCCCTTGCAATGATACAGGCTGGGGCTGATGGGGCCAAGGAGCAGCTCTGGGGCACTGTCCCAGGCAGCAAAAAAAGGGACAGTGGCACCTGGGGCAGTGTGAGCAGGACACGGCCCTGAAAGCCAGGGGAAGGCAGGGACTGTCCCCTCTGCTCGATGCCTGCCAGACCCCACCCACCTGGGTACTGCCTCCGCTTTGGATGCCTGATACAAGAATGACACTGATAAACTGGTGGGAGGTGAGGGGAGGCCACCGAGACAGTGGGGCTGGAGCCCTTGTCCTGTAAGGAGAGGCTGCAGGACTGGGGCTTGTTTAGCTGTGAGGAGGGATGGCTTCATGGTCACCCAACAACAGACCAGGGGATGGAGGCGATGCAGCCGGGCTCTTCACAGTAGTGTACGGTGGGAGGGTGGGTTAGAGACAGTTGGCACATGCTGAAACAGGGCGAATTCAGACGTACTGTAAGGAAGAAATGTTTTCTCTACAAGGACAGCCCAGCAGTGGAGCCAGGGCCCAGAAAGCTTGTGCCATCTGCACCCTTGGAGGGTATGGAGTCCCAGCCTGATAAGATCCTGAGCAGGGCTTGGAGTGGTGACCTCCTGTGGTCCCTTCCTAACTGAGTTATCCGGTTATCCTATATGTGACAAAACCCAGTATAGATGTGTATGTGTAGGTGTAGTCTTGGTTCGACATGGCACACAGCTTTGTTTTGAGACAGTAACTGTAGCACACAGGCTTATTGAGAGTGTGATCTTTTATTCCAAAAAGTCAGGATTAGACAGTGGAAATACAATTCACAGTGCTCTTACAAAGTAAACTCTAAAAGGCATATTTGGAATAATAAATGAAGAGCTTCATTTCTGCCTGCATGCACAAGAAAGCAAACAATTATACATCTGGACTTGGGAAACAAATAACAAACCAAACTGGAATCTGAACACTCACGTTTTCACCTTTTCTTATTGCCTGTCTTTTCCTGAGTAACACTGGGCATGGATGTTGTGGTCTAGCTCTGAGATGATAGTATGCCCTGTGGTGATGTTTTTAATACTTCTTTTTTTTAATATAGAGTAGCAGAGAAAAATCCTTAGACTTCCAGCTTTTTCTTTATGTTGCTTGAGAAATATGTGGAGATGTTTAATTTTTACAGGCAGGAATGTAGTTTAACCTTCAGCAAAGACCTGGTTGCAGTAGTAATCAACCTCTGATTTCTCTGTTTTGGAGACAGATTCATCCATCAAGTCCTGAGTGCAAAGCTAAGAGTGCTTACAGAGCACTTTCCCACATGTATTTGATTACTGGAGCACAGCTGCTGTTCTGGGTAATTAATGTGAGAGTATAATATCTTTCAGATGGGTGCTGTGCCTTTATTTCCAAGGTCAGATGACCTCTCTTGCTTATATTCTCTTCTGTCTATGGCATTTTATGTAGGTTATTGATTTTTGTTTGCTTGCTGGAAATAAAGTGCTTCTTGAAGGCCTGGTAAGAAAAATCAGGTGGACCTTATATTTGCTTGAGGGAATTACTACTAAGAATAAAAAAATGTGGGTTTTAGTAGTCTTCCAGCTACCATGTATGAAAAGGGATTTAGGACTTCTAGCCCCCAACCTTAATAGGTGGTTCTTTAAACTGCTGTCCTAAAGACTGTTTATTAAACAGTCAAATAAATGTACTTGACTTAGAAGCTTACTTTTCATTGAAGGTCATTGAGGCTTAGGTGACCTAAGGGTATTTATTCAGATCTACAATTATATGAAGTAAACTTATCTTCTTTTCTAACAATTAAAATTTCTCTTTTTTAAAAAATTTGAAAATAATACTTTATTGTTTGCAAAATTAAAAAGTGAAGTTAAATTGAAATTATTGGACGAAAAGCAAACAGAAGAGGACTTTTTCAGTAAAAAGCTTTAAGTAAAGCTTAAAGTTTTCTCCTCATCCCCTCAAAACACACAACCTTGAAAATTTCAGGATATCAATATTTGAAATTAACCTGAGGTCATTCTTCAAATGAGGGCAATTTCACAAGTGGAATTTTGGAAACTTTCAGTTTGCAAAAGGAAAATATTGGGGGTCTCAGGTGGTTTTTAGCAATATTTGATATGGTTTGTAATCTCTGTAATTTGTTTCTCACAGCTAGACATGTCAGCAATCCTGTCTGTCCATAGTATGCATTATGTTGTGAGCCTGTATTGAGACTTCTAAAAGAGGATCACATATTTTCAGATATTATGAGAATTTTTGTTGTAAATACAGTGGCATTTGATACCTTATTTGACTTGAGGTAAAGGTAGTCTTCAAGCAGCTGAATTTTGCCTTCTTTTCTAACTTAACATAATCCAGTTAAAGATGTGGCACGATACATGTGATAAAGATTTCAGAAAGCTGGTCATCATACTGTGTTCATGTGTAACTATTTCTTTCAACTTGTACTGCCCTTTTTCTGTGGGTGATGAGTGACACTTAGGTGTGAGTCAGGGGCTACTTTGAGTGCAACAGATTTAAGGTAGAATTTTTAAACAGTCCTCTCTTTTAGCCTAATTCGGCCTATGTGTAAAGCAGTGGAAATTTTATAACTGACTTCAATGGAAGTGGGAAATCCTGCTTGGGAAGGACTTTTCAAAGGGCTGTTACGCCTTGGCATCTTCACCCTTCTTTTTGTGGGCTTAAAATGGAAAGCTCTCCAATATCGTTCTTGTTTACTTCAATAATATGTCACATGCTGCAAGGAGGAGAGTGTTTGGTTTGTTAGTTCTGGCACACACCTGCATACACACCTGTGTTCTGACCATTCTTTCTGGATGTCTTGGAAGTCTCAGCTGGAAAAGACCTTACCTTGTCACTAAAGGCTTCTTACTAACATACCTTCTTTAGCTGGAAAAACAAACTGATTTTTTTCATAGTTATTTTGAAAAAGGAGTAGTTTGTGTAGAACTTCTTTACCTGTTCAGTTAATGTGATTTATTAGCTATCATTTTACAACTGCATTTTTTATATACTGTATGATATACATTTTTCTCCCTTGTGATGAGGGTGGGAAAGGCAAGTCTTAGAGCTTAAACACAGATGCTAGATTTGTAAAAGCTATGTATGAACTTTTTCTGAAAATGAATAGATCTGTCTGGAACAAGGGCCAAGATGTATTTTGTTTCCTTTTTTTTTTTTAAGGACTTCTGAGTTTTAAAGGCTAAAACATTACATGTGACAAAGACAAGGAGTGTTTGGTGAGCTGGAAGCTGCACCCACTAGATTTGCCATGGAAGTATAGCACAAGTAACTCCCACCTAGCCTTGCCTCACTGTCAGCTTTCTCATAGAGGGCAACTGAAATTACTGTTGCTTTCTCATCACAGAAATTTTTTCCCACTACACTTTTGCACAGAGCTCATTTAGTCAGCAAAGTGTCACCTGAGCCTCCTTGTCTCAGTTCAGTCAATTTGGCGCCAGTTCTATTTTACATTCATGTTAGTTTTTTAATTGGTAATTGACACATACTTTTATAGATCCTTCAAGTTAGAAGTCTTCCAGCAGGGACCTTTTCTTATAGTACTTACCAATAAGTCACAGGCTAGAGCTGTATTTTACTTATGTATATGTGGTTTTGACTTAGGGACCTAAAAGGACATAAGGTGTCCTTTTTATGACACTACATTTTTAAAACATAGGACAAGGTTCAAAATAGCTGAAGCTACTACATAAAAAATGAAACCTTCTGAGGTAGATAGGCCTGTTTGCTCTATGAAACTTGTAGAAGCTAATCTGTATTCTTACAGAGTTTACCTGTCTCTGTGGCCTGCATATTTATTATTATTGGCAGAACTCGCTAGTAATTATATCATCTTTTGAGATTTTTACTCAAAGTCAGCAAGGCTAAGATGCCTCAGTAGTCTCAGTGTGGTCATGGTTATGAATATTAGTAATGTCTTCATGTTTTAGGAAAGATGTTTGCTGCAGAAGCCATCTTAAGTGATTATAGATACGTATTACCTTACCATGAAGGTAACTGTGTTGTATCTAGCTGTCATGTGCTTCTCTAGGGAAAAGGAACAGGTGCTTCAGATACCCTGAGAGTGCATTTCTATTTCTAATGATTTTTTTTAAGGGCATAGGGTGACTAGCTCAGCTTGAAGTACCATACTGAAGAAGTGTGGTATGCATAGCTGTCATGTATCTGAGCAATTGCAGGCACCTGTGATGGGACTGAATCTGTCATTTTACGTTACAGCATCCTTCCTTTGCACCAAGTTAGTGAGCTGTAGGGAGAGCAATGGAGCAAAGGTGGAATATTTCTGTCATATCTCTACCATGGTTGAGCCCCTGGCAAAAGTTACCTGTTCTAACATGCACCTACCAACATCATCGAAATGCCACAGCAGTCCATAGAAGCATCTCCAAGGAGTTGCTTGGAAATGATTCTTCCACAAAGAATTTGTCCATAGAAGTGAGAAGTGCAGTCTGCAAAGGGATCATTGTTGATTGTTGCTGTTGGAGATCATTTGCATGGGAGGTCATACTGTTGTGCTGGCTATCATCCAACTTCAGAGCTGATGAAGTCAAATGTTTGTCTGCTGGGGAAGGGTGCCTTTTGTTGCTTTTGTTTATTGACTCCACCTTTTTTTAAGAGTAACGTCAGAGGTTTTTTTTATTTCTTTCCAGCTGTGATAGACAAAATGTCAATAGAATAAGTGACCTACCCACCAGAACTTGCCATGAACCATTTGGTTGGACCGCCTGAGGGGGAGGTAAGTGAAGAGCCAGCAAAAGGAGCAGTGAACGAGTCAGTGGAGGCTGACCTGGAGCACTCTGAGGTGGAAGAGGAACAGCGGTATGCAACTCGCTACTCAAGGCATACAAACAGCAGCCAAGGGGGCCTGTCTGGGCAGGAGGAGGAAGGAATGTTAGCTCGGTCAGCCAGCACTGAGAGTGGTTTCCACAATCACACGGATACTGCAGAAGGGGATGTGATAGCCACAGTGGAGGACAGTTATGACACAGAGAGAGTTCAGGAAAATGAGGATGAGAGCGCATATGCAGTGCAGTACAGGCCTGAGTCTGAGGAGTACACGGAGAATGCCGAGGCTGAGCATGGCGAGGCCATTCATAATCGAACATTGCCCAATCACTTACATTTCCATTCCATTGAACACGAGGAAGCCATGAATGCAGCCTACTCAGGTTATGTCTACACACATCGGCTCTTCCACCGAGGAGAGGATGAACAGTATGCTGAGCCTTATGCCGACTACGGACTGCAGGAACATGTGTATGAGGAGATAGGGGATACACCAGACCTCGATGTTAGGGAGGGGATCCAACAGTATGAGCGGGAAAGGGAGGAAGACGACAATTACCGCAAGGAGGCACTTGGTGCCCGCCTTCACCATTATGATGAACGGTCTGATGGAGAGTCTGACAGCCCTGAGAAGGAGGCAGAGTTTGCACCCTACCCAAGAATGGATAGTTACGAACAAGAGGAGGACATTGATCAGATTGTAGCAGAAGTGAAGCAGAGCATGAGCTCCCAGAGCTTAGACAAGGCAGCTGAAGACATGCCAGAGGCGGAGCAGAGTTTGGAACATGGTCATGCTCTTGCCGGTGGTGGGCATGAAAGTAATGGCCAGCTCCCAGCTGGTTCTCGAGTTACACCCAGCTCAGGAGAATCTGTACAGAGGTACAGCAAGGAAAAGAGAGATGCAATTTCACTCGCCATCAAGGATATTAAAGAGGCTATTGAGGAGGTGAAGACAAGGACCATCCGTTCTCCTTATACCCCTGATGAACCTAAGGAGCCTATCTGGGTCATGAGGCAGGACATCAGTCCAACCAGGGACTCTGACGACCAGAGGCCACTAGATGGAGATGTGAGTATACAAAGCTTTCAGCTCTCAGGTTATGTATGTTTCGTTCCTTTGTGACATACGTGGCAGTGAAGGCGGGCGCATTGTGTTCTCTTGTTCTGTGACTCATCCTTCAGTAAAGTAGTGCTGTGTGTGTTTTAAATTTGTACTCCAGAGAGCATGTAAGAGGTAAGCATGTGCATTATCAGTGGGCCAGATTTTTCTTTATGAAGCACTGCTGACCCCAGTTATACTGTACAAGAATTTGTCACATAAAGCTCTTCACTTGTTTTTTCTGAAACAAATGCTGTTAGATTTTTTACTGCCATGGGGTATTTTAGAATAGCTACCGAACACTTTGTCTTCTATTATTTATTCTTGTGTGTTTCTGTTAATTCTGGGTTTCTAAGTTTCATTTTCTGCCACATAACAATCCTAACAGTTCCATCAGAAATCTGTTAATATTCTTTATGATGGTATCATAGATCACATTCATATTCCAGAAAAGTTGCAGATTTTTTTGTCCACTTGCAGGCTCTAGAAATGTGTTACAAACTTCAATATATTACATTATGACTGTAAAGTGTATTCACTCTCTAGCAACCTCAGTATTGAAGGCCATCATTCAGATTTACAGAATCAGCATTTCTGAAATTCTGTACTTCTGGCATGAGGCTTAGCTTGGATCAGAATCAGTTCGCAGTTTGTGGTTCCAGCTGCTTGTATGATAATCTTTACTTGAAGCTTTATGGGGTTTCTGCATTTCTAATAAAATAAACTTATAAACAACTGTTAACTACATTAATTTTATGCATGATACAAAAAGAACTGGTAGGCTAAATTTACTGGCCAAAAATAGTTTATCATATGGACCCATGCTATTACTTCAAGGATAACTGCACTGCAAACATCTGCTCCATCCTCTTCATTGCTGTGGAAACCTTTTGTAACCTTTGTTTTTTTGGAAGAACACAAAAAATAGAACTTTTTGTGTGTTGTCTGGTGTTTCAAGCTGAATTACTGTAATGTTCTAGGAATACATCAGAAATAGCCAAAACACCTCAAACTCTGCAAAGGGAACTCACATGGTGAAAAAAGATCGTATGCCATGTAGATCTATGACAGGCTTCTGATTTTTTTATCTGTCTTTCAGAACGATGAAAGCTAGTATTCTACGAATGGGAAGAGATTTTTGGAGCATGGTGTCTGAGTTGCTGAAAAAACATGGAAGCTGATTGAGACATGTAGCTTCCAGGTTTTATTTTCCTTTGAAAACTGTTGGAAACACACAGTGATGAGTATGTTTGGGTGGGTTTTTTGTTTCTTCATAGTTTCATTGAAACTTTTTTTTTTTTAAATCTATATTGCAAAAATTACAGAGTTGATTAGCAGTCACGTGGAGGGCTAAAGCAATCTGCCCATCTACATGGGAAAACAATTATTTTTAACTTAACTTCTTTAAAAATTTCCCAAAACTGTAATTATTTCTCTCCCCTTTTTCAAATAGATCACATTACTCTTTTGCTCTACATTTTGTTCACCATATTTTCTGTGTACTGGCATTGTCTGGGAGTATCAGAGAACTTCCTGTTGCTCCTGATTGTCTGATTGTAACACCTAGTAACATGATGGTCTCAGTGACATTAGGCTGGGGATCCTGAGACCACTAAGTCCTTCATGAATGTGCTCTAGCTGCTCTCCAAAATCTTGCTGCACCTTGCAGGATTTAACTTTTCTAAGGTATGCTGGTAGGACTCAGCCTGGTATGTTCATATAGTAAAGAAAACAGGTGTTTCCACTGGGCTGTATTTACATTAGGTATTGAAGTACATAGGTGTTGCTGCTTTCTACCAAAAGTTAATTTCTCATTCAAGATTTTTCATAGCCTGTCAGATAAGAACCTGACTGAGATATTCAGTGCTGGCTGTAATCAAAACAGTGATGTATAATGACAGTTAGTATAGCTCAGTGCAAAGATAAATGATGGTTGTAGATGTACAGACAGTCTGTGTTCTTGGAAAGAGGAAGTAAATTAAGCAAATAGTTTAGAAGATCTGTAGCAGATAGAGGGGAATAGAAAAAAGGGACTTGTGACTGGATAGGAATTTTGTTTTTCACTGAAGATAAGATATGTATTTGTTTTATTGGATTCTTTAATTCAGATGCCAACCCATGAACAGTCTGCTTTCTTTAACAAAGCATTCCTAGAATTGCTTGGCAGTAAATTGGGCAAGATTAGGTTGTGTTGACTAAGTGACCATGAGTGATCAATTGTAATAAAAATATAGCTGAAGCCCATTAATCTAAATGTAGATTTTTTCTTCTGTCTCCCTTGAGAAAGAAAAAAGTTCTCAGACAGGAGCTTTTCAGTGTAACTCGTATATGCCAGAGATGTTATTCTGTTTGGTTTGTAACATTGGCCTTGAAATAAGAAGGAATTACATAAAGAGAGTGTTTTACCTTCAGGCAGACACCCTTTTCTTCCCCCAGAAGTATCAAGGAGTTGCAGATAAGTGATGCAGATTGGATACTTTTATTACCTTCAGTTATTTTGCAGATCTACTTTGAAAATTGTCCTCACATTGTTTTTTGACAAAACTTTGCTTTTAGAGATAGAACTTACTTGGAAATATTTGTAATCATTTTGTGTTGTTAATTATATGATATTGAAACTGGTAAGACCTCTTTAGATCCAAATAGCAGTCACTTTTTATTTAGCTAGGAGCTCTCCATAAGAGACCAATGAAGCCAGGGAGTCAGAAGAATGATTTGCAGTTGAGACTCATTAAATACAACAACGTCTTTTGCCTTTTTTCACAAGAAAGCAACTGTTACTCCTCAGTGCTGAGTATTTGGATGATACATTTGCAGCAGAATGTTGAGTAGAATACCAGTTGGAAGTGTCCAGAGACTACTTTGAGAAGCTAACAATCCAGAAGCATTCAGGCAGCCTGCAGCTGGGTATAGTTTGGGACTGTTAGGAAGGACATGCAATGACTGTGATGGTAAGAAAGCTACAGATCACTGTATCTGTTTGTTTTTACGATGCCCTGTTTCCAGGTTTATTCACAGTTTAATCTACCAGGAGTTTCTGTCATTCCTATGTATTTCTCCTCAAAAGAAATGTTTGGTAGGTGATGAAAAAAGAAAATTGCTCACAGCCCATGGACAATTCTACTGTAGTAAACTCTGGTAGTTCTGTGATGTAGGAGGCAGATAGCAGACTTCTGTGAATAAATAAATAGCATACCAAAGTACCTGCTTAATATTTAACAATGGAGAGTATTTGCTGTCATGTGCCTTGTGCACCCTGGTTTAGTGATGCATGCTTTCACTTGAATAAGAGATGATCTGGACATCTAGTTTGTGGGGAAGGTAGTTGTACTTCTGTATTTGATAAAAGCCGAAAAATTCTCTCGGTGTCCTTTGAATAAATCCAGTAAGATTTTTTTTTTTAAGTTTGCCACACATATGAGGTATGAACAATTGACATATATTTCCAAAATCTGTTTATCAGAAAACTTTTTAAATCAAAGCAAACCATCACTTGGATATGGCCTCGTGAGGATATCTTTTACAAATATAATAGCAGCTAGAGCTGCACAACTGTAAGAAATGTGACATTCAGGAAACTGACCTATGATGGAAGAGACTGTGGAACTGCAGTTAGGTTGTGTTTTCTGAGTGTGAATTGGGAGAGAACCTGTTCACGTCAAACTAAATAATGTTCATAGCTGGAGACCAGCATGGAGCTTACGGTACGCAGTTGTCTTAGTGGTGGAGGGGGATACCCTTTAGGAAAAGGTGTTCTTCTAGATGCACACAGTTACTTCACTGGAAGGGAGGGCCCATATCCCATTTAAGTAGCTTTTGCCCATCATTCTTCTCTGTCAGATTCTCCACCAGAAACCTGCTGTGAATGTGCCTAGCTAAGCACAGAAATAGTGGTGTTTAAAGGTCTAAATAGAAGACATATGCAGTGGATGGATCTGGACTTAAGGATGAACACATGTTGAAGTGGAAAAGGGAATAGTTTTGTGTAGTAGATATCTCAGAATATAATTAAATATTCTGGTGTATAAACTGTATGGAAGTTCTAAAACAGTATCTCTAAAATGTTATTGAGCTTTAAGAATAGTGGCTTGCTTAGTTGTGGAAGTACAGAGATCTGCTGAGAAAAGCACTAAAAGGCACAAAAGCTCAAGCAGGTTTTTTTTTTTGGCTGCAATTTTAAGACCATTTCTGTCCTCTCATGTCCAGAGAAGAGAAGCAGGCTGCCTACTTTGCTTCAACCATAATCAGGAGAAAACAGTGTTTTGGAGGGAGAAATTCTCCATTTCAGAACTAAATACCTTGATCTTTTTCTGAGATCAATTCATATATCTGGGGTTATAGATCTGAAAGCCAAGTTTTGTTGACCTGCAGGACATGGTTTGTTGCTGCATGCCAAGACTTGGTTTTGCAAAGTCCTTTCATCGGTGTTCAGAGTCTCGGTTCCTCTACAGACACTTGAGGTGGTGCCATGTTAGAATAAACCCTAATATAAAGTAAAACCAGGTACATGGGTGGTTTGGATTTGTGAAGTAGAAATTCAGAGCTGAAGACAATGCTTTCAGGTAGAACAGAACTGAGCTGCATTGTTTTGCTTCTTTGTTCTTTTTAGTTACGTGTATTTTATTTCATCCTTTGAGTTCTCAGTTGCAGGATTTTCTCAATTCTGGTAACTCCAGAAGTGAAGTGTTTTCATGGAGATGAGTTTGCTTCACTTTTTCCACAGCTGGAGTAATGTGATATTAACAAGGCAATAGAGAAGTCTGTTTTTAATAATTAAGCAGGTTTTAGTCATAGATGAACTAAGGGGGGGAAAAAGAGAAAGAAAAGAAATGAAATAAAGATGAGTTTATATTGAGAAGATATTCTTTTCTTTTTCTGAGCAGACCTTTTAAAACTGTTGGTTGAGCACACAGAATACAGGTCATCTTTCCATCATCCATGCAAGACCACAGTCTTAAAATTATATGGAA